CTGGGCCTCACACCTTCCCTTCTAGAAACCTTCCAAGTCGCATAACAACTCTACAGCGGGAAAGTACTAGAATCCGAAGCAATCCCGACAGACGTTTACAAGCACAGCAGCCCCTAGCTCGTGGACACAATGCTATTCCAGGAAATGCGGCACTAAAGACAAGCTCTTCATGATTTCAAAAATGAGACAGTTGTGCGTCTCTATAGATGGAAAGGGGTTCGGCAACCCGGTTGTAATCCCAGGAGAATCTCGATGCTCAATATTGCCGGAAAAGTCCTTGCTCCAATGCTTTCAACCATCTCGGTGGCCATCTAAAACAAAGGTTTTTCTTGGAAAGCCAGTGTGATTTCCGACCACCACGCGCAAATACTGACATGATCTTCACCGCTCGTCAGCTGCAGGGCGAATGTCGTGAAATTCGTACCCAGCTCCATGCTATCTTCATGGACCTGGCGAAAGCCTCCAATACGGCCTATTGTGATGAAGTCTGGATTCGGGTGTCCAGAGAGTAGCAGTTCCACGTACAGTAGGTGGGCTTACTCATAACACCTCAACGGAAATTCCGAAATGCTTCTTCGTTTCAAAAATAATTAAGTAATGATGTAAAAACAATCATCGTTCAGCAAAATTCTATAATAATTCAGTTACCGCAGCATGCCTGCTTTCGAAAAAACGTCCTTCCGGCTGCTTCCAAAAACCATATTCCATAAAAATGACAACTTAAGTATTATGGGTTTTTCTTATTGATTTTCGGTGCCCCTAAAAATACGATTATATTTCATGCAAAACATGATATTAAATATTCACTCATTTGTTAGAAAATTATGTCTTCTTTCAAATTTATACTCAAAGGAATAGTATAATTCGATTTTAAAAAGGTTTGCAATTGTGAAATTTTTTAATAACGTGAAATGGCCGTTCATAAAACGTCATGTCTCATGTCGTTTACAAATGTGGCTTGTAAAGCTAACAATGTGGTTCTAATCTACACTTTACTTTTATGAAAGCCCTGATGGTCTCCTCCTAATACAGTAGAGAAATGTATGGTTTTCCGTACGTGGAAATTATACGGCTTGCAGTCTGGGAACCCTGAATTCAAGTGTAACGGCCGGTCGGGCTTTAAAATTCTTCAGGAGTTGTAAAAGTCTTATAAAACCAAATTATACTCTTACTTCGAGTATAAAATTGAAAGAAGACGTCATTGTCTACTGAATCAGTGAAAAAATGCATATTTTTATGTATGTTTTCTATGAAATATAATTGAATCTTTAAGGGTATCGAAAATCAATGAAAAAATGCATGGTACATGTGTAGTCGTTTCTTACGGAGTATGGTTTTTGGATCAGCCGGAAAGACGTTTGTTCGAAAGCCGGCGTGCTGAGGCAACTGAATTATTATAGAGTTGTGCTACAGGATGATTGGTTTTATAATCCTACTTAATTTTCCTTTTTGAAACGAAAGTGCATTTCGGAATCCTGGTTGACATTTCATGAGTTAGCCACTTACTGTACTTGTTCCCACCCTCTTCAGTCGCAGGTTCACTGCCATGTTGATGGACGATTACGTTTATGAGCGCTCGGGGTCCCACATCGTCTACAGGACCGACGACTACCTACTCAACATCTCGGCGCATGCTGGCTTTAAAGTGTCTCTCCACAAGTACTGTTTATGACTGCGCATTCAACACCACGCCGAGGAAGACATGCAACAGAGCGAGGACCTCTTCGCCTCCAGCTGCGCCAACATTGGGTTGACCACGAACAGGGAAGAAACGGTGGTCTCGCACCAACCACCACCCAACGCTGCATCGCCCGTTTCTCGCATCCACGTCAACGACGCACAAATGGAAACCGCGGACAGCCACCCCTACGTAGGCGGCATACTTTCACGCTGTATCGAACTCAACGACGCCTTGACTCACTGGATTTAGCGGCCACTTCGTGAGCATGGACGATGAGGGGCTTCACAAACGACTGTTCTGCGGCGATGTCGCTACGCGTGTTCGTCGGTAAGGCGGTCAAGTCCAGCGCTACAAATATAGCTTGAAGAGTTTTTTGTAGCGCTGACAAATCGACCCGAGAACATGGAACGACCTCGAACAGAACCGATCGATCCGAAGAAGCTCTGTGAAGACTAAACAGCAATCAATGAAGTCGACCCGCAAGCCTCAATCGCATCGATTCACAACACCAACGCTCAGCCTTTTCCAACATGCCCACGCGGCCAACGAACTTTCCGCGCGCCGATTAGTCTCTTCTGGCAACTTAGAACCCAAACTGCTGCCCCGACAACCGCCTGTATCTTGCCTCCTGCGCCAAATCCCTCGGCATCCACCACAACGACGACCTACCTAACCAGCGATGATCACATTCCCTATGCCCCGCCGCTGTCGATACCTACCACAACCAACTCGACGGCGACTACGGCATCCCCCACTCCCGCCACTGGTGAAAACACTCGG